TAAATTTTTGGCCCAAGTTGATAGTGATGTGGCCCATTATGTGGACCGTTGTTATGTGTGCCAGCGGTCTAAGGGAGTTCTCACCAATGCGGGATTGTACACTCCCTTACCTGTTCCTGAAGCTCCTTGGTTCGATTCAGCAGGATTTTGTACTAGGCTTACCCGCACCCAAAGGGCCTCTGATTCTATCTTTGTGTGGTTGATAGGTTTTCCAAGATGGCTCATTTTGTAGCTTGCAGAAAGACTATGGATGCTGACCGGATTGCCCATCTCTATTTCAAGGAGATTGTGTGTTTACATGGTGTTCCTCGATCCATCACTTCAGATCGTGATACTAAGTTCATCAGTCATTTCTGGAAGAGCCTGTGGGGGAAACTGGGAACGCAGTTGAATTTCAGTAGCGCCTACCACCCCCCAGACGGATGGCCAGACTGAGGTGGTGAACCGAAGTTTGGGAAACCTTTTAAGGTGTTTAGCAGGAACGAAGCCGAAGCAGTGGGATTTGGCATTGCCTCAGGCAGAATTGCCTACAACAGATCAAAACAGAACCACAGGTTTAAGCCCATTTGAGATTGTCTATGGTCAGAACCCATCCGGGGTGTTGGACTTAGCCCCTATTCCACGTATAGGACGTTTCAGTCCTAAAGCAGATGAGATGGCAAAGTATCTTCGGGTATCCATGAGCAGGTGAAACAGACCATTCATGAGAGCAATACCAAGTACAAGACTCGGGTCGACAATCATCGTCGTCAGGTACTTTTTGATGTTGGTGATTTTGTTTGGGCTGTATTAACTCGTGATCGTTTTCCTGTTGGTGAGTATAATAAGCTTAAGGATCGGAAGATTGGACCTTGTGAGGTCGTGCAGAAGATCAATGATAATGCTTACAGGTTGCGACTTCCCAGTCACTTGAAGACTTCTGATGTCTTTAATGTGAAGCACCTGAGTCATTGTTTTGTGGATCCTGATGACACTACTCTGAACTCGAGGACGAGTTCTTTCCAACCCGGGGTGACTGATGCAGGGGGATCCGAGACAGATGATGTTGAGCTGTCAGATTGCACGTTGATGGCGCTGAGATACCATGAGTTGGCAGATCAGCGCAAAGGCGGAATTGATGTGACATGTTCCTCATTGGGGTCGTTTTGAGTATGTTTCAGTCTTTTGGCCATAACTTTGGCTACATGTGTCAGAATCGCACATAAGACCCTGACAAGTTCGGTTTTATTCGGCTCGATGACAGCGAGGAACTATTTTCTGGAAGAATTTTCAAGCCGAAATCTTTAAAACGAGAAGAAAACAAAGGCCCAATTCCAGGAAGCCCAATCACATTTGAGAGGACCGGATAAAAACTGATTGTCTTTTTTTCGTATTTGCCCTATTCTTGTTGTTAACACCAAAGAGGGGCAGCTGTAGACACCCATTTTTATCCAACCATTCCACTAAACCCCTAAAAATCTGGCTAGAATCTCTAGCCAATGCAACCTCCCAACAACTTTTTTTTTCCTAAATAAATTCAAGTGATCAGGGGGGGTCGTTGGATGCCAGGAGAAAAGGGGGGGAAAAGCAAAAAGGAATGGAAGAGAGAAAGAGGGAGATCGAACCGAAAAGAAAATAAGGGGAGTACTGGAATTAAAAAGGTGAGAGAGAGCTAAAACGTGTCCCAGTCCCAGAGTGATCATCAGCTGCCGTTTAATGAGAATGGTTCTCAAGACATGTTCATATACCAAGTGTTGAACGAAGTAAACGCTCATGGCCCGGGAATCAACAACCTTCGTCAGTTTCATGTATCCCAAAGAAACCAAATTGCTGTAACCATGCTTGAACCAGCCAGGAACCACGGGGGAGAAAACCAGAAAAAGAACAATGGTCTAGATGGCAAAGGAGACGACCTGATGTTGAAACGGTTAGTGCAAAAAATTCTTTTAAGTTTCTCTTCAATGGAAATTGCATTCAATTCTATCTACGCAGTAAAATTTTTTAATTTTATTTTACTATTCTTTTAACCTCTTTTATGTGCTTGTGTCTCGAGGAGGAGACGTGTGTGTAGAGAGAGAGAAACAATTGGTTGCCATGCATCTTCATACAGTGAAACATGCACTTTAAAAGATTTGAATTTGGATGTGGGATTAGGCCATGAATCACAAGGCAGTAAACAACAAAAATTCCAGATATTGATAAATGCTTGGATGTGGTTTCCACTTTACAAGTTAAGAAGGATGCCATAACATGCCAAATCGTTGTTCGAGATGCTTTACGAGAGTGAACACGACGCGTTAACGAAGGCGTATCTACCTAAACGGCTAAGCGTACTATCACAAGTTTACAACATCGTTTTGCTTCGTTGCTAAGGTTTCGCGCCACGTAATATCAACGCTAACCGATAATGTCCGTTCAAGTTCGAAGAAATGGCGAAGCATGCTCTCACTCGCGTACACAGCTAGCCCGTGGTCCCGAGAAGTCAAAGCTGCATCATCCGATTTCCGCAAGGGACAAAAATTCAACAATACACAGGATGACGTACAAGGTGATTGAGCATCTTGGTGCTGTTCATGGCATTCGATTCAGGGTTTTCACAACGTGTCAGACGATCCTGTCTACCACAATGGAGAGTACTGGTAGCCCGAGAGTGCTATTTCTTATAAAATTTTGTTACAGTCCCATCACCGGTAACGCTTCTACAAACGACACCCTTATACCTTTATTTGGTTGTTTGCTATTCCTCAAATAGGGTCTGGAACTACACAATTATTTTCTCTATAACACAAGCACTAGAGATGAATATGTGTATAATTCTGGTCCTTGGTTTATTCTTATATATGCTTGGAGTGCCCATTTCCATTTGTACTGCTGGGTATGTTCTGCTAGCTTACTTTTATTGGAATATGCTACGGGGTCATGACCTTCATACTTGTGTGAACATATGGAAGAATTCTTTCATTATGTTTATAAGGCTTTTGTATCCATGAAAGTTTGCTGATCAATTTTTGGTTTTAAAATGTTAAAATCTATCAAAGGTTCAAAGGATTACTTTAATACAATTTGCAGAGCATTTTAATAGTTTTAGTCTACGTACATGGTTGTTATTTGTGCATGTTAGTGAGGCTTGACTGTTACATCATGATAGACTTCGTTACTATTAGATACGAGATTGAAGGGATGTATGATATATTTAGTATTTTTAATCTAACATTTTTTTAAAAATTTCTTTTTTAGGAACAATTTTAATTAATCAAGGGTAAATGATTTGAATCGAGTATTTGAATTTTAATTTAATTTTTTCGCAACTAAGACAACTGACAAATTAATTGGTACCGAAAGGGCGGTTCAAGGGTGCTAATCCTTCCTTGACCGTAACCGACTCCCGAACCGCGACTATACTCAAATATAATGTAGAGTTATTGAAATTCTTTTTAAATAATAATAATAATAATAATAATACATTTATCATTATATTTCCTTAAAAAAAAGCAAGGAGAACGAAAATCTAAGTCTCTATTATAATAATAATAATAATTTAACTTTTATAAATTGTGCATTATACATATTTTTCGTCTTTATTTTTTTATTCGTGTATTGCATAAGATATTTAAGGTGTAATTTTATCTTTCACTAAATTAAAATATAGATTTATATAAATTAAATCATAAATTATAATTTATATTAATTAATAAATAAGATTTTTTAATCATTTAATTTGATGACAGACATAAGATTTTATGTTTGAGCTAAAATTTTAAAAAATTATGTTAAAACTTTAAGTTATGACGTGCAAATTTATAATATTAATATGAAACAAAAAGAGTATACCTATATAAAAATTTAAAAAAAATTAAGGGTGCATTATTCCCTAGCCCCCCCCCCCCATTCATTTCTAGTTGAATTTAATTCATTTATCTATTTTTGAAATATAAAAATAAAATTTCATAAATTTTAAATGATATTTAAAGGTTTGATTTATTTTAAAAAAACTCATGAGTTTAAAATTGAGTTAAAATTTGTCAATATCAATTTGATCGTAACTGTGAAAGAAAATTTTAGACGATATGATTTGAAAATTTTGATTAACAAACTTAAAAAAAATCTTATTTTGAAATAAATTAAACCACCTGAAACCAAATAACATTGTAATAAGATATATCGATATTATATAAGTTTACAAATTCATCAATAAAAAATCAAGTCTTTTATTTAGTACTGAAAAAATATATGCATAATCATAACATTTCTGTCGATATTTTATATATTGTAATTTTATCAAAATTAGAAAATAAAAATTTTAATATAAAAGCTATAATTTACAATTTATTAAAATTTATATAACTGAAATTACTACCATTATACTATAGATATATATTTTCATTGTCGTTGTTTTTAAAGGAATATAATGAAAATTTATTATTATAATTTATTTTTAAAGGAATTTTAGATATCTTAGACTAAGTTTGAAAATTTAGGTTTATTTATTTATTTATTATGAAACATATATCAAATTTCCGTTCAGGAGATAAAAATGAGTGAATTGAATAAAGTTTTATTCTCAAACAATCGTCAACAGCGGTGGTCGTTGATGATCAATGACGACAATCGATGGTGATCGACGACTGTTATGAAGAATTAAATTGATATTTTATTTACAATTTCATTTGTCAAATAATATTTTATCCATCAAATTAATATTTTGTTTAAAGTTTAAGAGTCAAATTAAAATTTAAATATTTTTACTAACACGTCATGTTATAAAATTAAATGAGAGTTAGCAACTTAATGACTAAAAAAGACAAATCGAAAATATGAGTGATCAAAAGATAACTTTTTCAAAACTTATAATCAAATAAGACATGCCAAAAGGGAAAAAAAAAAGAAACCACCGTCGTAATTTACCCTATATAAAATGTCAAACATATAAGAAGAGTGAATTTAGTATATTCAAAGATAAATATCAAAAGTTGAAAGCAATGCATATACATTGACAGAAACCAAGTGAAAAAAATTAATAAACAAATACAAACAGAAACAGAAATCGTAGTCGGGACGGATGTAAAATTTTATGTTAGAGGAGGACAACTAATTCCACCAACCCCTCGGTCCATCCTTGGTAGTAGTTGTAATGTTTCATTTGTTTCCACAGTGCCACTTTGATATAGGCACACAACTAAGGTATCGGCACCACCTGCAATGGTCGTATCCGATTTCTCCTCTAAACAGCATTATCAATCCCATAGCGAAACTGCATCCCATCCATAAATGAAACAACATATTAATCACGGGTGAAACATAGATTAAAATGTGGGGATTCAAAACTTACCCAACAATGACTAAAACCACAGCCATCACCCAGAAAACATATTGGTATGACTTGTGTTTAGATTTTTCACGAGCACCGGCAGGAAGATGCTGACGTTGAACCCACCCGAATTGCGGACGAAGCAGCAAAACAAACCCTAAGAGAAAGCCGGTCAAGAAACCGCCAATGTGTGCAAAGTTATCGACATGAGGAAGAATCCCAACTGCTAAGTTAACAGCAATGATGATCACCAATGTGATCAGAGCAGCAGCCTACAATACAAAGTAAAGAAGGTACTTAAATTCCTCGGTTGCTTTTCTAGTTGCACCCACCCGAATTGGCGGACGAAGCAGCAAACAAACCCTAAGAGAAAGCCGGTCAAGAAACCGCCAATGTGTGCAAAGTTATCGACATGAGGGAAGATCCAACTGCTAAGTTAACAGCAATGATGATCACCAATGTGATCAGAGCAGCAGCCTACAATACAAAGTAAAGAAGGTACTTAAATTCCTCGGTTGCTTTTCTAGTTGCAAGTAAAAAACTCGTAAGTATATCGTATATGATACGACGAAGACGAAACACCGATATAGCAACAAACTCGTAATTAACAATTACGTCATTCACTGGCCTTTTCTTCCTTTTCATAAACAGCATTGCTGATCTTTGGATAATATGCATACTCTCTGCTTTTGCATTAATAGCACTCCACCAAACATCAAAGCAGTTGCTCTTTCCCAATAGTATGCAATATGCAAACATTTAGTCCGAGTAGACAAATACCAAAGGAAAATAACATACCTTACTGGTATAGATTGTCCAGTTAGTTAGAAGCTCCGATAACATTGCTCCCAGAAGGCCGAATAAAGCACCGGAGGCACCGACAGAAATATTACGCTGAATGAAAAGAGAAGATAGTATACTCCCACCAAGGCCGGACAACAGATAGATAAGTCCGATACGCACTGTCAGGGGAAAACGCATATAAGCTATAACACGATGAGCAAAATCGTCCTCTAGGTGGCCATAGTACTGGTGAAATAAGAAAATTCTTCATTCACCAAGTAATACGATCATGGATCATCTGTATAACACAACTCTTTGAAATTTGCAAGCTAAGAAACATATTATACAACACAACTTTCTTTAGGAGAAAAATTTGAAAAACTAATCTAACACTAGAAAAGGGACAGATAAGAGTACCGAATCCAAATTGTTGTTCCAGGCGTATTCCAATGAAGACCAAACTCAACATGTTAGCAAGAAGATGAATAACACCAGCATGCAGCCAGATGCAGGTGATAAGCCTCCATCCTTGATTCTCATGCACTACCTTGTTCAACTCTAGTGCACCCATTTTTTTCAATCTGAAGAACGAATATTAGAAAACTAGAAGATTTACAAATATTGCTGATTGCATGGCCTAATAGAAATGCTGCTACAGAATGAAAAAGAAGACAACTGGAATCACCAAGATATAAGACGTTCATGTTCAGAAATACCCTTTTCAATACACCGACAACTGAAAATTATGTGCATAAATGTATTGAATGAGAACCCCCTAGATCCAAGTTCCTCTTGGTTTCTATCAGAAACATTTGAATTTGCATAAGATAACAAAAGTCATTTTCCTACTTCAATTCCCCTTAGTTAGGACCGTAAACGAACCGAACATTTAGCGAACTGTTCGACAGAAAGTTCGTTTATGTTTGTTTATTTATTAAATGAACGAACACAAACAAATGGCTCGTTCGTTCATTTATATTAGTGAATGTTCAATACTCCATTCGCTTAAGTTCGTTCTCTTGTGTTCATTCATTTTAATTTATTCACATATGTATTTCTCACCTAGCAACTCACTATCCCTTTCATTTCACAATAAATTGAAAAAAAAACTAAATCGTTTAAATATATGTTCGTTTGTGTTCGTTTATTATATTAACGAACAAATATAAACGAACTCGAACAAGCTACATTCCTTGATGAACAAACACGAACAATAAATTATGTTCATTTAGTTGTTTATATTCGTTCGTTTGTTCGGTTAAAGTTAAATGAACGAACATGAACATACCACGTTCGTGTTCGTTCAATTCATTTACGGCTCAAATGGCTTCCCACCATACATTGCTGAAATTTTTACTATAGTGAAACATTCTTTTGAGATTTATTTAGAAATTATTGCTCATAATCCAAGTAATCTTTCGATCCTTAAATAATATGCTAACTTGATATTATTCTATTAAGGAAAGCAGAAACATGATTTCCCAAGCTGAAAAATGATGAAAAGGTTAAATCAAAGTACAGAACCCTTAAGCAATCATCAGGAAAAAGTAACCTTAGATGCTGCTATAAACTAGAAGAGGTTCCTCATTATGAATATTTGTGTCCTCTGCACTTCAGCTGGAAAAAGCAAGCCATGACATTCCGTAAAACAACCCATGAACTTAGATACCAACTTAACAAGCAAGATTCAAGAACCAAATCAAACATAAATCATCTGCTATGATCCAATGATATATACTCCTAAAACTATATTGATTGGACTAAAGTTGACTCCTCAATGAAAATATCACCACATAAACAACTTCTAAACGCGATTGGCAAATGGTCCAAGTTAGATGCGACTTACGTATTAGAAGAAGGGCCAAAGAGAGGATTTTCTCTCAAAGGCTGAAAAGAAAGCCTGCCAAGAAACCCAGCCACACAGCTTCCTTCAAAACCCAGATTGTTCTTAGGACAATCATTGATATACATCACCACAACAAAAACAGCAACATTAGCCACCACAAACATTGGAACAAGCCACGAAGTCCATTGCTTTTCAGTGTTTTCAACATAGTAGGGAGATGATGGTCGGTTATAGGTATTGGGCCTGTTCTTCCCAATCCCAATCCCAATCCCATTCATTCCTCCTCCTCGCTCTAGATCCACACTTGCCATCCTCCTTCCAAACAAAAAACGTTTCTTTTCACAGCCTATTAATGGATCAAATCTGCGTTTTTTTTTTCTCTTTTTTCAATGGAAACTAGAAAGAAACAAAGAAAGAAATAAGATTCGAGTTTTGCTTTGTGGTTGCAGATTTAACCGTTAAGCTACAAAACTTAGATCTTTGAGCTTTGTTTCTCGGTGGTTGGTCAGGTTGACTATTGGGTTTGACAGAGTAACCTGTTGTTTATATATATATATATAAACACTTAGACTATGGGGTAAAAAAAACTGGGTTTTTCTTTTGAGCTCTGGTTTTAATTTGGAAGATTGATGAACCCCAAATCTTTAATAAAAGTGGTGCATTCTTGTCAACCTCTTTATGAAGAATGAACGTTATGGTGTTTGAATCTAACTTTTGCAATTTTATCTTCCTTTCAAAATTTCAATGAAATGATTAACATGCATGTCTTAACATACGTAGTTCCATTTTTGTTGCTAATAGTCTCTTTCAATATATTTATATTTCTAAAATATTTACATCATGACTTTAGAATTTGATGTTAACCTTCCTTTAACCCTAAGAGATAAGTAGATTGTATGGTTAAACAAATAAAAATTTTAGTGACAATAAGTAAAGTTGGTGCTATATATGATTTAGGGAAGGGTATTCGATCGAGTCGAGTTGCGTCAAAAAAATTTGATCTATTCGATTTAATGAGTTTTATTTTATAACTCGAACTTGATTAGAGATTTTTTTCAGTCGAATCGAGTTTATAAAATTCAAGTTGAGTCGAGTTTTTAAGTTTATGTTTAAATTTAATTGTAAATATTTATAATTTTATGATACTATTTGATTTTAATTTAAATGATTTTTTATAATTATATACATGGTAAATTACTTAGATATTGTAAGTTTATTTTTTATTTTTTGAAATATGACACTCCTTTTTATTTTTCAAAATATGGTAAAAGCTACAGTAAACTCAAAGAAGGTAAGTATACATACGTATCCACTATTCATATAAGTTTTTCTTATTTTTTTTATTAAAGCTACAATAAAGAAAAAGTGTACAATCCAATTTCAGTGTTCACTTTTTTTATTTTCACTACAGTAGATATGTCGTGCTCACAATCCAACTTCACTATTCCTTATTTATTTTCTATTATTGCTTGAAATCGGGTTGCCTACTAACCACTTCACTGTTTTAATATTCCATGCATGCAACGGGAGCATGGACAGACTGGTGTGGCAGTGGCAGTCTTACATGATGCTGGATCATGGACAGGGCCAATCCAATACATGTGCCTGATGAGCGACGGCCCAGGACAGCATGTAGGGCCGGGACATCAGTTTCTAATATTGTGACCAACCCACATTGTGTATGAATAAATCTGGCATGCTTCTAATATTGCAGTCAATTCCGCCTCCGCTGGATTTGACACTCCATTCGATCTTGAGAAGCGAATAAGAGTCGCACCGTTGAGATCACGAAGAATACCCCCAATGTCGGCCTTGCCTACACATCCTTGAACGGCTGCATCGACATTAATTTTGAATTTATTTCATTCCAAGCCTGGACACAAAGAATCAGTCGTCTACTTCAACAACAACAGTGACGGCAGTGGCAAGGACATTGTAAATTCTTCCTCGAACGACACCGCAAGTGCGGGCCTAACCATCGATGAAAAGGTCGATTCTGATGAAGGCGTTAGTCATAACGGTTAACCGATTATTTGAGTAGAAAGTTGTTAATGATGGGCTGGAGAGAGGACGTGAATTCGATTTGGACAATAAGAGCTTTGTGGACGGTGCCAAAGTGGTGACAACGGCAGCAGAGGCGCCAGTACCTGTGAAGAGATGGAGGCCAAGAGAAAGGAAGGTTCCCGCTACTCCATTTTCTAGAGCATTTGGGTAAATTGCATGTATTTCTTTTAATTTTTATCATTTATTGCTACTGCTAAATTATATGTTCCTTTTTTGCTACTTTTCTAACTAGTTATTTGTTTAACATCAAAAGCTTTGTTGCATTAGGAGCTGGTCTTGCTTGGGGAACAGTTCAGGAATCTGCCAAGAGGCTTGTTTATGGTTCTCCAAACTCAAATGAAAAGCAGTTTGTTGTTTCACCATTCTTGTCCCAAAAAAATGCAGAAAGATTGGCTCTTGCATTATGTAGGATGCGTGGGGCCGCTCTTAAAGTCTGACAAATGTTAAGCATAGAGGATGAATCCATTGTTCCAGCTTTGGCATGTTGACTTATGTTATTTTTCCCCCTGCCGTTACTCGTATGTGTTACAGTGATGTTTAATTAATGCAATTTGGTAGTGGTGGGAAGTTCATTATGGGAATGGTATATTTATGGTTCTTTGTTGAGAATCAATTTAAGAATATGTGTTGTTGGAGCTTATGGTTTCTATTTTATGGTTTTCCGATTAAGGTTACTTGCCTAAAAGACTCTGTAGAGCGCTCAATCATACTTTTACCTACTCCCATTTGTTGTAGATATTACCTGCTCTGGATATTGTGCGTCAAGGCACAGATGTGATGCCAAGGAGCCAACTCAATCAAGTTTTAGATACTGAACTTGGTCCTGGTTGGTCCACAAAGCTGACTAGCTTTGATTATAAACCCTTGGTTGCTGCAAGTATAGGCCAGGTAAGAAAAATGGTTGCATGTTTATTGTGTTGTCATGCTGACTAGGATGTTCCCCATATGCTTTGTCTTTAACCTTTTAAGGCATAATGTTTTTTTTGTCTATATGTTGCTCCATGCTACAAAGAGTCTTTATGTACAAAATCTTGTATCTACAAGTGGACATGTTAATATCAATTACTCATTTTATTTATGGCATTGAAGTTATTTGGTTGGAATGGATCATTGTTTAATGCTCTGGCATTTCTGTTATGTTCAACCTTCATTTGTGTTCACTGGTGTTTTATGTGATAACTGCCTTGTTTAATTTAATTTGTCCCTGGCAGTTTGATGCTTGTTACTACTTACACATGGTTTCCTTCTTTTATATATATAAATTCATTTTTTGAGTTTTGCTTTTCAGCATTTAAAAAATTATCATCCTTGTTTTTAACTCTAGACGTGAGTTCAAGTTGAATTCACAGTAAAATGATTGGCTTTTGTGGAGAAAGAACAGAACTTGTCATATTATATAATTCCTTCCTATATTTTGTCTATTATACAGTAGGGTCATAAAATTATTATCTCTCTCAGGGCATTAAAATTCATTGGATCGGCCCTGATCATGGAGGTTTGAGAATAAAGGGTGTAGGGTGGTATTGATATAGAGGTAGGGGTATTAATCTTTTATTAAAAATTAAATTAAATTTTATAGAGATAGATGGGATTGAGGGTTAAATGGGTATTAAAAGAGAGGGTAGGGTTAGGTAAGGGGGGGGGGGAATTATGTTGAAGATAATATCTTTTTTGTTAAATAGGTAAGGTTGAAGGTAAAGCGTGAAAGAAAATTTAAGAAAAAATTGGAGTAAAGAAAAAAGAAGAAGAAGAAGAAAGAGTAGGAAAATTTGATGAAAATAGAATAAGTTGGATTTTATTATTAGATCATATGTTAAAATTTTTGTTAAAAAGAGAGAAAAATCCATTATTCATTGTTACAACTATATTAACCAGACGGTGGAGATGAGGGGTTGTAGATGGTTGAGACGGTGGTAAAATAACAGAAGAAGAGAAATGCTCGAGACAAAACTTTAGAAAAAGAGAGTTTGATGAAGAAAGCAAATAAAGATGTTGCCATGTAAGCGGTTAATGGATTAAGTAAGCTTTCCAATAATTTCGTTAATAACCATTAACATCGTGATCAATTTATTATAAATCAATAATAATAATAATTAATTTATTATTTTTAAAATTTTAGTGAGAAAATAAAAATTTATTTTAAATATTAGTGGTTATATGTGTAATTCATCCTGAAAAGAAAAAAAAGGATTACGTGGGATCCAGCAAAAGAAAAACGCGTTACTTTTATGCGAATCTGCAAAAGAAAATGTTTAGGAAATGAGTTGGGTGACTCTATCTATTGCTTTAGGTTGCGGTCTCCGTATTCCTTCATATCCTTTGAAGCGACCCCTACGCCTTTGACATTCGCTGCCTCTTTACTTTATTTCTACTATGGCTCCTCTGTTCATTTTTTTTAAAGTTCAGGATAAACTTAAATTTCATTAATAAAAAATCTAAATTTAATTTTATACTGACAACAAACTCTAGCATCTAATTATTATGTATCAAATTAAATTTCAGATGCATAATTAGACAAAAAAAAATACTAAACTAATCTTCGAATCAAATTCAAATGTCAATATTTTTTATCCTTTTCATTCTAATTTATAAATATATATATATATATATATATAAATAAAGATGACGACAAAGCTCACAAATAACAAATATTAGTAACGATCAATAAAATTCACTCTAAAAAAAATCCAATTCAACTCAACTAGACCCAACTCATAATTTATAAACTTATATTGATTTTTTTTAAAATTTGAATCAAGTTATAAAATAAAAGTCGAATAACTTAAACCTTTTAATAATTAGTGAATTGATTTATAAGTTTGAGTTAAGTTACTCAATTAGAATCAAGTAGTACTATAACATTATAAATATTTACAATTAAATTTAAACAAAAACTCAAACAACTCAAAAAAAAATCAAATAAAATTTGAGTTAAATATAGGACTCGTCAACTCAAATAACTTGATATTTTAACTCGACTCGATCTGATCTAATACTCACTCCTAAATATCAGTACGCATACAGACATTGCATGAAGCTACATCAAATGAGACAGAAAAAGAATAATTAAACACTTAACCTTAAAGCCCATCATCAGGTTCTTGGGCTGCTTAAAATTTGGAGATAAAATGTCCATAGAAAGAAAATGGCAAAAAGCAACTTCAGTATTACCGTGAACACAAGGTCCTACTCCTACAAAAGAAACCTAATATATCCAAATGCAATGTTTATATATATATATATTTATTATTACTAACCACCTTTAACTCATGCTGCTTTAGCTGTTTCACGGGCTAGTGAAAACTTAGCCAGAAGACCGCACAACTGAAGATATGAACCAACTCCATCGCAGATTCGCATATGTGCAAACCCAGTTTCCTGCAACTCACAACAAACAAGGAGATATTGTGACAAAGAATTTGTTATAAGATGAAATAAACACAGGCCCAAAAAAATGGATGTACCTTCATGAATTCCAGTTTCAAGTACTCAGCCATATCATAATTCTTTATTATTCGGAAAAGTGTTGTGATTATATCAGTAGGAGAATACCCCAAATCATAGAGTTGCTTCAGACCCAAACAAGCATCATCGAATTTCCCTTCAAGTACATGGCGAACCATGTTCTTCACATGCAATGGATGAGGCTGGTCACAAACCTGAACAGAAACCAACTTATTAATATATAGCATTCCTGAAGTTACAAAACATACCATATTGGTACAAATCTTTTCTAAATTGCAACCTTGAAAACATTTTCTTGGTTGACAAAATGAAATCCACTGTATGTAGCTTGTAAGTTGTTCAACGCTTGCCTCATATCACCATCAGCAGTGAAAATGATAGCTTCAAGACCCTCTGGAACATGCGGAACCTTAACCAATAGCAAAATGAGATCAATCATGCATTTGAATCAACTTCAACAGCAATCACTAATGACAGGATTTCCAGTAGTTCAAAACAATAAACCTTTCACCCATACATAAGCAAATTTAAATAATTATTTCAAAGTAATTAGATAAGATTCTCCCTCTCTTTCCTATTTCTTGACTAATAGAAGATCCATCAGCCACTAATTTTAGTGTAACAAAGGAAATAAAAAAGGAGGGACTCCCATGAAAAAAAGGTTAAATTGGAAACATGCAAATGTTAGCATTTCACATAGGCTAACCAATATGAGTAAATAAGAAAACTAGAAGAAATAAATAAATAAACTATATACAAGAGTTCACAGTTTAGCCAACATACAGAGGATCAGAAAACTTGTTGAAAGAAAAATTGTACCTTTTCAGCACCTACAATCACCATGAGACGGCCTAGAATCTCTTGATCAGATAACCTTGAAAATCGGACAAGTGCACATCTACTCTGAATAGGCTCAATAACTTTTGATGATGTATTGCAAGCAAGAGCAAAACGAGTAGAATTTGAATATATTTCCATTGTCCTCCTCAAGGCTTGTTGTGCCCCAGATGTCATGCTAATGTTATAAAATATATAAGCATCAGATAATCAAAAACAAAATCAAAGAAAAAAAGTGTGAATCTAAGTCATAACAGTGTCTATAAAATCAAAATCAGAAGCTGCATCAGTGAAAATTAACAAAACATAAATACACCAGGTAAGATGATTTATACATAATTAGTAGATAAAAGCAACTTTTCAGGAGAAACAATAGATGCAAGGTTAAAAGCAAAATTTATTGGATACTCATTTAATGGTTTACCTGTCAGCTTCATCCAGGATAACTATCTTGTGTCGTCCAGGAGGTAAAGTTACTTTCTTTTGAGCAAACATCTTAATTTTGTTCCGGACAACATCTATTCCCCTATTTACATAAAAGAAAAATGAAAACCAAAGTTGTCAAATTTGTTATTCAAATATTAAAGAAATTAAAATGCCATGAAACACAACCATTGACTTACCTGTCATCAGAGGCATTAAGCTCCAAAACAGCCTCCCTATAGTTTGGCCCCAAAAGCTCATGTGCAAGAGCCAAAATACTAGTTGTTTTACCAGTTCCAGGAGGACCCTGTAAAATACCAAGCAGAATGTTCATGCAATCTTATTCATTTCTAGGAATTTTCTAATTTGCTTTCATTCATCAACTCATTAAACACATTAAATCCTTGAATAAACAACAGTCCTAAAGAAAAAAAAACAAAGAAGTTTTTTTTCAACGCTAGATCTCGCAACAACTAAGGTAAAATCACCCTTTTTATTTTACTGTCCTTTCCAACCAAATTTTAGGGTTTTCACAGATAGATTCCCTAAACATTTTAACCTAATAGTGAAATAGTACCACACAATAACGAAATCCGAAATCCACCAGTTATTCTAGGTTTTCTAGCAGAGTCTTCACTACTATATATTGGGGATTTAAACTACATTAAACAAAATGGCTAATTCCAGTAATAATAAAACATTTTAGATGGCTATTGAACAACTGAATCGTAATCAGAGGTATAAACTTAAATAGTGAGAGGAAAAAGGTACGGATAAGATGAGATTGGGCATGTTGCCATCGCGAGCGATGACTTGGAGCCGAGACACCGCGTCTTCATTGCCGACAATATCCGAGACTTTGTTTGGCCTATATTTTTCAACCCAGGGCACGTCGTAACCGGCGGCGGTGGAAGATGAAGAGGACGCCATTTCGGTGTTGAGACAGTAAAGGCTTCGCTAAGTTCTGGTGCCTTTTATTTACTTTAAATAAAATCCCCTTTTCTTCAATTTGGAGGGAAATATGCCCAAAACCTCACCCCCACCTTCCCCGCTCTTGCTTCTTTTGCTTAACTAAATTTGCACCATTTAAATAGGATAAACTGTGTATTTAATCACTAATTATCATTTTAATTTTATTTTGGTTACTCAATTGTTTTACTTTTTTTTAATTTTATATTGGTATTACGTTTTAGTTTCATTTTAAATATTTATCATAAAAAAATAACGGTAATACTAGCCTATCACCACAAAATAATATCACGTCATCATTAAAAAAAATAAAAAAATGACACATCAATAGTTTTGTTAATTTTTTAACGATGTATAATTAAAATGAAACTAAAATATAACGTTGGTGATAATTTAAAAAAAAAGTTAGGCAAGAACCAAATGACCTTAATGGTTAAGGTATTTGTTGATATTCTTCGAGTTCTTGACTTCGAGCACCACATATATATAGAGTATGAACGTTCATTGTATAATGATTGAGTGTCTTATTAAATTAAATATACCTTAAATCAACAATTCATCACCTGAGTCAACTCCTAAATATCGACTCAAAATTTTGGATAGTTAAACTTTAAATGTCGCAACTATATTAAATACACTTGGTTACGAGATTTATTGGACATCAAAATCCTTCAATGATTATTTTTAAGTATGCATGAGTGAATACCCTCATCTCCTCTCTTAAGTAGTCATCCTCTAGTGTATCCAAAATTTTGATTCAATCATATTAAATAGATTTGGTCAACATTGTACTCTTCGAAGGCATTTTCAAGCAGGTTTTGACATATATCATACCATTTTTCAACACTCTTATCAATTAGAACGTGAACCATTGAACAAAAGATCTAATTGCAATGCAACATCTTCTATAGTGATTGTACACTCTCCACATAAAAAATAAAAAATGCGTATCTCTGATCTCTACCTCTATATAATTATCTAATAGTTATTGGATTTAACTTAAAATATCAACCCACCAGGATACATAAAAAATCAATTTACCTTAAATACTCAATAATGACATCAATAGGAGGTTTTCTCACATGACAAATAAAGGGATCAGTAAATTGACAATTTCACTGTTAATTTTAAATAATTACATAAATTAGTTATTAAAACATATTAAATAAATAATAATTAACAAAAAATATTAATAAAATTAATTTTCTTACCATATCTGATAGATCGATTGAAATATGTGTCGAGTTTAATCTAAAAAATTCATTTTTACTTAAAAATAATAATTAAAACGAACAATAAAATAATTTTACGATTTTAATAACTAAACTAAAGATTACTACACAACTATACAAAATAAAGCCAAAATAGTAACATTTTTGTATCTATAGTAGATTCAATTTATTGTTTTGTCTTTATTATATTTTTACATCAATTTAATTCTTAAAATTGTTCTTGTATCATTCTATACTATACTCCTAATTTAAAATCTTAAATTGAGGATTTTAAGTTAGGGTTTGTAGTTTAGAGGTTATGAGGTTATGATCTAGGGTTTAGTGTTATCAATTTAGAGTTTTAACTTAGGGGTAGGGCATAGAATGAGGTAATTAAACAACTTTGAGAACTAAATTGATGCGAAAATACGATAGTGTCAAAAATAATAAATTGAGTCTATTACAGAAATAAAGATGACCCTTAAGTCAAAGATAAATAATTTAAAGAATTAAAAATTATTAACATCATATTTTAAATTTTTTATGCATCAAAATCCATGTGTAAAACATACATCAAGAAGCTAATCGGAGTGAGATATTTATTTTTAAGTTATAAATATACTAATAATGTATGATTAGAAATCTAATAAAACCTTGTAAATAGATAAAAACCTTCTAAATACAAAAAAGACATGCCTTCTAAACGCATCTTTCCGAAACTTTTTTAAATTTTGAATACTCTTTTTTGGTGCGAAAAAGGAAGCAACTTGGGAGGTTATATAGAGGAAGATGCGTCTCGCAGAAAACAGTTTTCCTAAATTTTTATTTAAAACGTGCAAGCCCAGAAATACACATTTGAATTTTTTTTTGAAATTTTCAAAGATTGCCACGAATTATAATACGAACCTTCCCTTTCTATCCAATGAAAATAAAATTTCTTGACACGTTGTGCCACATGGGAATGGCATGGGACCCGAAAACAATGGGTTTTGACCTGACCGACTTGATCGGATTGATTTTTTTTTTAATTTTTGGTTCGGGTCAGGTCGAGTCATTTTTTAAAAGGTGTTGTTTACGTCGGATTCGGGTTTAAGAAGAAAAATATATAACCCGAAAAAAATATAATTTTACATTATATATTTAGGAATAATTATAATAATATCCCTCTATATATTATTTTTTAATTAAATCACTGTTTTTATTGAATAAAAAGAATACCGGGTCGGGTTCGAATTTTCTCTCAAAAAATTGAAACGGGTTCAAGTCAGGTGGATGTATATATTTTTCAGGTCGAATCAAGTCGGGTGAAAGATATAAAATTTTCGGGTCAAGTTAGATTGGTCGAAACTCGACCTATGCTAATCCTTAGTACCACATATGGCAAAGGCATGCCCATCTAAGAGCGTTTTTGGTGAGACATTTTTTTTGAATGGAAAAGATAGACCAAGTCCATAATCCATTACATCAATTTAGCGTAGAAGGGGACCAGAGTAATCACGATCAAGTATAGCTAATAAAGGAAGAGAGCCACCACGAGCATTATCCATTTTTGCAATGAAATCGACAGAGCATTATTTGTTTCTCAATATATTTTTTTGAAAATCGACAAACCAAACCTTATTACTAATGCGCAAAATGGAGCGAAACAAGCCAATCATTCTGTCGACGGCCGGAGGGGAAAGGAGGCTGAGCAACTCGAAATATGTATAATTTATATAAATATTTTTTGTGTGTTTTATTCTTATAACTAAATTTTAAATGAATATTATTCTCGTAAAATTGTCTCATTTAATAATATTATTATATTTGATTTAACCAGTATTTTACTAAAATAAAAAGTAATTTAAAGAAAATAATTTTCTCAAATGAGTTTAACTTAAATATTTATTTTGGTTGAACTTTACTAATTTCAAGGAGTCCTGGATTCAAGTCTATCGAAGGTTAAAAATTAATTTATATTTTAATTGAATAAGATGATGATATATATATCATCATCTTATTATTCTAAAAAAAATCACTTAAAAAATAGCATACTATTAACGAGAAAAGAGAAAATAATATAGAAAATTAAAATATAGAAAATTAATGTCAATATTTTTGTTATTTTTTAACTAATGATGTTTAAAATAAAAATAATATTTTTATATTAAAAATAACTCAACAACAAAAATAGAGAAGAAATAACTAATATTATAGTTTATTTTTAGGGGAAAATACACAAATGGTCCCCAATTATAAAATACTACTTTATTAAGTCTCTTATTATAGAGAGTTGCTTTGTTGAGTCAATTGACTATTAAAAGTTATAAAATATCAACTAACTATTCATTAGCTAAATATTAACATGTGAACTAAGATATGATAATCGTTTGAGATAATTAAATCAAATTTTATCATATATCGGTAAACATGTTAATGTCCAATTTAGATTGTCTTCAATTTTTTAACGGAAAAGAACGATTTTGAAACATAATGAATAGTCAGATGTTTATTTTGTAACTTTAATAGTAGAATGAATCAACAAAATAACTTTTTATAATCGAAATATTATTTTATAATTTTTAATAACCAGACGAATTAATAAAATAATATCTTATAATTAATTACTGTATACCTTATTGTTGGTTTTATAGAAGAATTATGAATAATAATTGGTACGACAAGAATGATGAAATCAAACGACATTCTTCGAGCCCTAACTCATTCTAATTTCCTAAACAACTGATGAAACAATAGCTATATTTTATATTTGGTGGCATATAAACTGAATAGCATTTGACAATCCAATTGTTTTTATTTGTCATTGGAAATATTCTACGAATTGTTTTTGAGAAATCCCAGGGATGGCTTCGACAATTCCAACGAACCGGTCCTCCTCCGATGACGTTTTGGACAGGACGCCGTTTCTGTCATCGACAAGCAGCGCCTCAGCGGATGAGTCCTCCTCCCGCCGAACCGTTCGTCGCCAGAGCATTCGTGATGCGGCTCGGTTCCTGCGCCGTGCCAGCAGCCGAAGGATGATGCGTGAGCCGTCCATGCTGGTTCGAGAAACGGCCGCCGAGCAACTCGAGGAGCGCCAGAGCAATTGGGCATATTCTAAGCCCGTCGTCATCCTCGATATGATCTGGAATTTAGCGTTTGTGGTGGTGGCAATTAGTGTTTTGGTTCTGAGCAGGGACGAGAGGCCGGATATGCCGATGAGGTTGTGGATAATTGGGTATGCTTTCCAGTGTCTCTTGCATATGATTTGCGTTTGTGTGGAGTATAATCGACGAAGGAGGCGACAGAGCTCGGAGTACAGAACATTTAATGCCGGGGAGGAAGGGGTTTTGAGCCCAGAATCGAGGGTGCGTTCAGAGCAGTACGTGTCGTTAGCCCAATTGGAAGAGGATGGTGGCAGGTATACAGTTATTTGATTCTAAAAACTATATTGGTATTTGATGGTTTAGAGAAGTTAATGATCGTTTTAGATCACCCTTTAGCTCTTGCTTTTTATTGGTTAATTGGTGGAATTAGGATGTATATATTGAGAGGTACATTAACATTTTTTTTTTCATTAGCCATTTTGGAAGTTTGATAACTTGTGATTTAGGCACCATTTCACTTCAGCCCAGAACATGTTACAATTTGGTATTTGATGGAGATCGGTATTTTATTCACCTTGAAGTTGTGATGTTATGATAATCTGCCCTATGCATTTGACATGTGAAGTGTTTGATAAATTTATTATGATCTTTGTCATATCTGTATGTTTAAATTTTTAATATATTATCTTGGTTCTTGGATGATACTACAGGCCTACACTTAGTTGCTAATCAGTTTCAATTGATGTTTTCAGCAGCGTTGCAAAGCATCTGGAATCTGCAAATACGATGTTTTCATTCATCTGGTGGATTATTGGATTCTACTGGGCATCTATAGGTGGCCAAGCAATGGCACATAGCTCACCTCAACTTTATTGGTTTGCTCTTATCTCGTTCTTTTCTTCTACTTTTTTGTCGTTTGAATTTTTTTTCCTTGTAACTGTATCGCAACTCTTTTAATGTAATTTTCTTTGCAGGCTTTGTATAATTTTTCTTGGTTTTGATGTGTTCTTTGTTGTTTTCTGCGTTGCCCTGGCATGCGTCATTGGCATTGCTGTTTGCTGCTGCCTTCCATGTATTATTGCAATCTTATATGCTGTGGCAGATCAGGTAACTTTCATCCTGCTGCATGTAAGATTATCATGATTGTAAATGACTCAGAAATATACTAATATGTATGTGTGCATTCATGCTTGAGTATCTAGTTTGAAATGGGATGCTTAATGGAGGTAAACGAGATCGGTGCATTTTGAAGTTGACTTATAACCAACTAGATAAATGGGGAAGTCCTTGTTTGAATTGTGAGCATTTTACATGAATGTTGTTCAACTTAGATAATTGTCTTGTCTCACTTAAAATGAAGTTGATAGAAGTTTGTTTTCAGAAAGTTGATATGATATAATAGTGAGCTTGCAATGCCATGCATAATTTGAATGTTAAATTTTACTTGATGACCATGCTTTAAGTATTTCTAAAGAAAAGTCTGCATTCTGCATTTGTTTGAAAGGATTCAGTTAAGTATTTTTATGCAGGTTATGAAGCTCTTGGCAGTTAATAGATTAACTAGGAATTTTTTAAACTTTTTATTTTCTGTTTTAGCATGCCATTCAATTTACTTGTTTCATATGACCACTTGCATCAGGAGGGAGCTTCCAAGGAAGACATTGATCAGTTATCAAAATTCAAATTTCGAAAAATTGTCGATGACGAGAAATCTGCTGCTGATGTCCAAGGACAAGTTGGGGGAATAATGACTGAATGTGGTACAGATTCTCCGTTGGAACGTGTTCTTCCTGAAGATGATGCAGTAAGTTGATCTCATTGTTTTTTTTATGCTGTTTATTTCCCTTTTCCTTCCTCGTGCGATATGCCTCTTTGGAACCAACATGATGTGAAGCTCGGCTTGTGTTTGTGATAATTCCATTTGTCACAAGTCTTTGTAATTTAAGTCTAGTACTCAACTGATATTGGTTCCTTGTTAATATGTAGGAATGTTGCATCTGTCTTTCTGCTTACGATGACGGAGTTGAGCTAAGGGAACTTCCTTGTGGTCACCATTTTCACTGTGCCTGTGTAGACAAGTGGTTGTACATCAATGCTACGTGCCCTCTCTGCAAGTATAACATTTTGAAGAGTACAAGCCACGAGGAAGTGTAGAAAAAGGAGAATAATTATTCATGGTTATATTAGTGATATGTTTTTAGCTCGAGAGCATCATAATGAACTACATGTCATATGCAGTTGATACAGGTTATTCTAGTGTTGTTTCTTGTGGTGGTAGTTGTAGATGATGTTGTCTGATCATAAGGCTGTCGACAGTCACGATGTGCTTGTTTTGGCTCTGACCCTCGTGGAGTTGTTGTGTATAGTAATGTTTCCGGGGGCATCTGAGACGAAGAACTCGGTAGCTATTTTCCGCTTTCATTTTATGTCAGACTCACTTCACCCCCCTCCCCTGTATTTTGTATTTCACGTGTAAAGTGTTTTAGTTGAAAAATCTTTGTTGGACAACAGAGTTGTTATTACGCGCACTTTTTAGAAGCTGCTCTTGTCCAATTTCCGAATTTGAAGATGAATAAAGTTTATATTGGGGTTGTTTTTATAGTTTTTGAGTGAATATTTGCCAAATCGAGATGAGCAGCAACCGATTGGTGGCAGGGGGTGATTTGGTGGTGACTAATTCGATGGCCAGCTTATGGGATTTAGAAACTTTAGGATTTAGGGATTTTGAGTAATTTAGGGATTGTAAGGTGATTTTAGAAATTTAATGATTTTATTTTATTTTAAAAATATGTTACAAGTTAAATACTGATTGGACAATATATTTTTTAATGACCTTTAACAATGAAACACATTAAATGATGACGGAATAAACTTTGAGTTCTTCGACCCAAAAGAAATTTAAACACTTAAAATAAATAAAATATAATTTAAACACATATTTTTTTAATTTAACCTCATTATTATTATTATTTTGTAAACTACATTTTCTTGCAACTGGCAGCAGAGTGTGCATTTTCAGATATTGAATATTTTCTGATCTGAAATTTTGAATATTTAAAAATTTATATTTATGATCTGTATCCGATCCAAAAAAATTTAGGTATTCCATTTTTTACATATTCTAATTTTCAAATAAGATATTCAGATATTTGGATCTAAATATAAAATATAATTTGATGAAAAATTAAATTTAAATTTTATATTTTGTGAGTTTATGCAACATCTTCTATACTTCTACTGTATTTTATATATATTTAATTGTTCACACATAACAAATAATTAAATGTCCAAAATTTTATTGGATTACAACCTTAGTAGAGTAATGAGTTACTCACTTATTGAGTTAAAAGGTTATCTAAAGTCCATTTTTATCGGATTTTTGGATAATTCAAAATTAGAATTTATTTGATTCGTATTCGATTTGATTATCTGATTTTATTGAATATTCAATCTGAATTACCTGAAAATAAAAAATAAATCAAATATATGAATTTTTGATAATTTGCCTTTGCCTAAACTTTTTAACCTTGGGGTAAAGTTCGTCTCTAAGCTGCTAGCCAAGAACCCAATCCGAAACGTGGCGTTTGAACTCCGACTGTGCACAGTTGGATAGCCCGGACGCTGTTTGAGCTCTAGCAAGTGTTTCTTTGACAATTTCCTCTTGAAAATGGAAAATCATATTCATTATCCAAGTGCTCAAATTGACTGTTTATCGTTTGAATGACTCTAGTTTAACCATTTCTGTTGGATTACGGCTTTTCATTAGTTGGCACTGACATTGCTCTCATAATGTTTGATCAAATGTTTCACTCAGCAGTGAAAAGATCCTCAGTGCATTACACCTAACATTTATCACTCGACTTTCCTTTCCATTCTTTTTGAACAAGAATTCACATTCCATTCATTTTAAAATACCAACCATGTTTCAGTTGCGTTTTAAGTATTGTATTTCAAACTTCAGAAGATAGACAAAATGGTACCGAGCAAGATCTTGCTAGGCATATCTTCTGGGTACTTCTTGTATTGTAGTTTATACCTTATAGATTTTTAATTCTTTTGTTCATTTCTATAAATATATCTTGAATTCAAGTCTTTGATTGATTGCTTTAGCATGATTAGAAGCCGGATGTCCAGATTATACAGCTCTGAACCTTGTTGCGTTTTCATTAAATCTGCAGCTTGCGGTTCTGTTTTTAAAAAGCTTTTTGGCAATCCTGGGTTGTCAGTAGTACTGGGTTGAGCCAGAGCCAATGTAAAAGTGGAATTTTCAGTTGCTGGTCAATAACAATCTGATCAAAATGCTAGTATTACCCTCGAAAAGGTTCCTTCTATTATTTGGGGAATCATTACCCTCGTCCAGGTTACCTAATGTGTCTAGGAAAGTTTGGGGACAGACCAGTGTACGATTTGTGAGTCAAGTTAATCCTGGTAATGAACCTATCAGTCTTGCCAGTCTTGGTTTTAAAAGTGACTTTGAGAAAACAAATAAGAATAAGGAAAATAAAATCAAGAGGCTTGATGTTTCTAATGAAGCACCCAAAAGTAAGTTGAGGGGTGTTGGAAGCAATAGTATAAAAGCATTTAAGGCAGTTGGGGTGAAAAAATCCCTAGAAATTGAATCAGCTCCTTTTGCAGCGAAGTCATTTTCTGAGCTTGGCCTCCCACCTTTGTTGCTAGAGAGGTTGGACGTGGCAGGCTTCACGGTTCCGACTGATGTTCAGTCTGCAGCTGTTCCAATGATTCTCAAGGATCATGTTGTGGTGATCCAATCTTACACAGGCTCAGGAAAAACATTAGCATATCTCCTTCCCAAACTTTCTGAAGTACGCCCACTGAAAAAGAGATCTCCTAATGGTGAGGATGAATCTGGGGAAAAAAGGGAGATTGATGATGTAATTGTAGCTCCCTCTAGGGAACTGGGGATGCAGATCGTTAGGGAGGTTGAAAAGCTTCTAGGACCTGAAGACAAGAAAGTTGTTCAGCAACTTGTGGGAGGTGCAAATCGATCAAGACAGGAAGAAGCTTTAAAGAAGAACAAGCCAGCAATTGTTGTTGGCAGCCCTGGTCGAATTGCAGATATCAGTGCAGCTGGGAAGCTTCACACTCATAGCTGTCGTTTCTTAGTTTTAGAAGAAGTTGATGAGCTCCTGTCATTTAACTTTTGAGAGGATATGCATCTGATATTGGAACATATGGGCAGGAGATCAGGTGCTGACCCCCGTAGCTCAATTGCTAAGTGAGCCGAGCGTCGGACCATTATGGTGCATGCTACAGTTCCATACTCTGTTATAAAGGCAGCTAGGAGCTGGGGGTCTGACCCACGTCTTGTCCAAGCTAAAAAGGTCATGCCACTTGAATATGTTGCGCCTTCTGGTCCTGTTAATATCTTAAAACCTACATCTGGTTCAGACTCAAGTATGCGGACTCAAGCAGCATTGCAAAGCCTGCCACCTGCTTTGAAAAACTACCATTGTGTCACAAAATTAACACAAGGTTGATACATTGAGAAGATGTGTACACGCACTTGATGCCAAGTCAGTGATAGCTTTCATGAACCATACGAAGCTGCTAAAGGATGCTGTTTTCAAGCTAGAGGCCCGTGGGATAGTAGCTGCAGAGCTGCATGGTGATCTTGGCAAGCTTGCAAGGTCAACAACTTTGAAAAAGTTCAGGAACGGAGAGGTCAGAATTCTGGTGACAAATGAACTTTCAGCAAGGGGTTTGGATGTTGCTGAATGTGATCTTGTGGTTAATCTGGACTTGCCGACTGATTCTATCCACTATGCACACCGAGCTGGTCGAACGGGTCGGCTTGGTAGGAAAGGTACTGTGGTAACCATCTGTGAGGAGCCGGAAGTATTTGTTGTAAAGAAGTTATAGAAGCAGCTCGGAATACCCATTCCTGCTTGTGAGTTTGCAGAAGGCAAACTTAATGTCATTGAAGAAGACTAGACTTTGGGGCTCCCTGGTGATACAATCCCTTCTTTTTCACTATCATATTAGGAACATTACCCATGCCTTTTTCCTGCATCTATTTGCCTTGCTTTTAGTACATCAAAGGACTATTTTGCGGCATAGTGAATATCCTTACATATAATATAATGAATGTAGGTTTATGCATTTTTTTTTATAACTTTCCATCTGTCGGAGGAAGCCAAATATATGTTACCTTTGCATTTCAAGATGAGTTTGGAGTATATTTGAAATATGGAGTGCATGTTAATGCATGTTAAACCATTTTACATTTGTTCCACTTTATATATGACAATCTTTAGTTCCTCTTGTTCTTGTGGAGCTTCTAATCTTGATATAGAATCAAGGCCTGAACGAGTTAAGTAAAACCAACTTGATCGAACTCCCTGTGTCTAGTTGTATTGTACATATGTTATTTCAAGAACTTCTACTCAGAATACTTTCCATAACTGATCTGGACCATTACATCGAAGGGGTGTGAATAATGGCCCGTGGATGGGCTATAAGACCAAGAAACATCATTCTTTACAGGAGTATACAGTTTTAAGCTATTAATACTAGAGCAGTTATTTGTGGAGTGATGGGCGGATACAGTAATATACACAAGGCAGTAAGCAACATCACCAGACAAGTCTCTTACAGAGCTTGTAGCCAGATAAGAGAGCAGAAATTGCTATAACCAGAAAAGTTGCAAAGGACATGGTAGTCGAGATGACAGTTCCCTTCCAAAGTGGTGTGCTTTGCCGAACCTGCCATCGAATGATTGATATTACTACCGAAGCCGACGAGATGAGAAGGTAGCCCACCAACTGTACAGGTTACCTAGGCAGGAATTAGGCAATCACACAAACCAAAAACTCTTAAGAGTTTTCAAAGGGGAAGTGCACTTGCCTGGTCTAAGACAAAGCTAAGGTAGTCTGAGGTCATGTCTGAGATTAGAATGCCTCTGTGAAGAATCTCGCTAATACCCTTAAACAGTTGGAAAGCCGCATAGACGAAAGCTAAAATGGCTACACCGAAGCAGTATCTACTCAAAGAGAGATAATTCTTGATTAATACAGACTACAGAAAGTATATTTAAGATCTATACTGTTCTAACTAACTGGTTTTAGAATAAAGATTACAGAAAGTATGCTGAAGAGGAGTTGGAGCTAAAAATCATGTTCACGGAGTTGGACCTCTAAACATCATGAGGCTTTGATGAGCACAATCGAGGCTCTGGGAAAATCCTTTCTTTAAGACTAACTGATGTTAGATTGAAGGTGATATCTTGGTTTAGATAGATTGGTTTCTTACTTGCTCTTAATCTTTGCTTCGCCTTCTAGGCTTTACTTTTTAATCTGGTAAAAAAATTAAAGCAAAACATAGTTAAGCTTACATCAGTTCGGGGTACTCAGAGAAGCTAGCAGATCGTTGGCCGTTCTTGGATGGAGACGCCAGTGCAAGGGCTGAAATAAAGGAGAAGAGAAGCACCAAGAATCGAAGGAAGAGATTCGAATGATGTAGGGTAGGTCGATAACTTCGTCTTGTCGAAGCCCCTGAGAAAGAAAACGGTGAAGGGGTTGGAAATGGCTGATGAGTCTGGGAATTGGTCACTGACACGGGGGAAATACCAGCCATGATTCTACAAGCAATCGACAAAACATGCTCTCCCTCTTCTTTCACTGCTTCCTTTACCTGCTCCATCCTTTAGTTGAAGTTGCTTTTGAATTGGGTTTTTGTGAATGAATATGGAAGTCGTTGAGAATGAAGTTAGTACTTCATGGAGTTTCAAGGAAAGTTTCCAGTTAGTCATGGTTTGTAGTTTGACAAAATTTGCTGGAAAACTTAAGAGCTGACTTATTTCTTAGATTAAGATTTAAAATTTCAATTTGAGTTAATTAGACTTATTTGTAAAACAAGTATTTAAATTATACTTTTTTTTTTTAGTTTTAGGTGCTTATAGTTTTTTGTTCTGTCAAAATAGGTGCTTTCAGAATAGCCAAATAATTAATTAAATCAGAGTTCTTTACATGATGATGAATTCAGAGTGGCCAGTGGCGTAATTAAGCATCTGTTATTTAGATAAGAGAAAGCCGGAGAGGTTACTTTGCATAGGTCATCATTGTAGTCAATTTTGTGAGAGATGATCCCATGTGACATTTAAAAATTAGGGTACAATACACAAATAATCCTCTTATTATAAGATATAATTTTGTTGAGTCTTGATTGTTAAAAATTACACAATGATCACTCAACGATTTATTATGTTCCAAACTCGTCATTCTTCATGAAAAATTAAAAATTAAAGTCGTTTGAGTTGGACATTAACGTGCTGATTGAGTTATGATAAAATTTGATCCCATAATCTCAAACAATTTTTATCTTAATCAACATGTTAATGTCTAACTTAGACGACCGTTAACTTTTTAATAGAAAATGATCAATTTGAAGTATGATGAATAGTTAGATAATCATTTTGTAATTTTTTAATAACCGTGGGAATAGTTTTTAACTTTTAATAGTAGAGGACTCAACAAAGTAATATTCAATGAATTAAATCGACTACAAAAGGCTAGCTTGAACATATGGAGATGTATATATACAAAATAAGAATTATTAAATTTGATATAAATGACCTTGAATAGAAACAACATTAGTACACATATCTAACACTTGAAAATCTAACGTAAGGGGATGCTTAAACGAGGTGTGATGTTGAGGGAAAGCTTCAAGGCTTAGACTTGTATCCCCATGGATTGCTGCTTGCCCACTTCCATTGGTCCCTACACATCTCCTCTACACCGTATTTCGCCCTGCAAAATTACCCATCTCTTATCATGAAAACTACAATAGCAAAGTAAACACTTGCAGTAACAGAGGAGCAATCAAATAATGCATTAGGGGAAAGAGATTGGAATCATAGACATACTCCCAACCAAGTTCATTTCGTGCTTTCTCAGTGGAAGCATAAACTGCAGTAGCATCTCCGGGTCTTCTCGGGCATAGTTTAATGGGGATTTTCTACAGTATTTTCAGCACCAGCAGTTTAAATATGAGAGGAGAAGAGGAGGAGAAAAGAGAGAACATTCACCTTTCCAGAAGCCTTTTCAAAAGCAGCAACCATTTCAAGCACAGATGTACCACTGCCTGTTCCCAAGTTGTAGGCAACGCAACCTAGAAGAACAAATAAGTTGAAAACAAACCTTCATATGTTTGAAACAAGGCAACTTGAATGATTGATCACCTATTTTATCTGTGGTAAAAAGCTTCCTAAGTGCAGCAATATGGCCATCAGCTAAATCCATAACATGGATGTAGTCTCGGATCTGTCAACAAAGAATCAGTCCCACAAAAAGGTGTTCATGTGGTGATTATTAACTTTATTTTGTATGAAAGACATCGTCGACATCAAGCAGGCATACAAGATGAATTTGCAAAGTTGATCACAACAAACAGGAAGGACTATAACAGAAAAATTTTCAGGAAATTTAACGTCACAACACATACCGCACTGCCGTCCTTGGTCGGATAATCGTGACCGTATACATTAAGTTCAGGCAATCTACCGACGGCCACTTGCTGTATGTAAGGCATGAGATTATTTGGGATGCCCTTAGGATCTTCACCAATTTGAGCACTCTCATGAGCACCAACAGGATTGAAGTAGCGCAGTAAAATGATACACCAATCTGGTTCAGCCTTCTGAATATCTCGTGCAATTTCTTCAAGGAAAAGCTGGTAAATTTACACAACTTTTAGTTTACCAATTAAGTACAAGTATCATGCTTAAAAAGCACAAGGAATATACTGCCAACGAAAACAAAAACACAATGCTATTATTTACCTTGGTCCGTCCATAAGGATTCATGGCCTTCAACTCAAAATCTTCAACACATGGTATTTTCTCAGGTTGGCCATAGACAGTTGCAGAGGATGAGAATACCATCTGCAGAAATAAGTTTAGTCTTAGATTAGCAGTGGGTGAAGCATGAAAAATAACGAATAAAGCTGCAAAAACTAGTGTTTTTCGGCATAGAAACAACGACACGTCACCTAAATTTCAGCCTAACAAACATTTTAGTCTATAAACAAAAGGCCTTCCTCGAACATGGGAACTAGCTTGAAACATCAACATGCAGCTGAACAAGGAACACTGTCAATTATAGCAATTTAAACTCTTCCTTACATCAGTTGAAAGTAGCAACTACGAGACAATACAGCCAAAAGGATACCATACAGAGGAAAACAAAGAGTTTGAAGTCATTGGCATACCTTTTTGCAATTGTATTTGGCCATGGTCTCATAAAGATTGATAGTCCCAATCAAATTGTTATCGAAATAGCGACGCGGGTTATCGACACTCTCTCTGACAGCCTTAAGGCCAGCAAAGTGAATGACGGCATCAAACCTGCGACAAATGTTAAAACACAGGAGAAATCAAGTCAACAACATTGGTCAAATTACATCCATTTTAAGCTATCTGCAAAGAGTTAAAGCTTAATCCTAAGTCACAGTACACCATACTTTGTGTTAGAGAAAAGCTTCTCCAAGTCATCCCTGTTCCTCAGATCACCCTGCAACCAAACAAAACCAGAATCTTGATCATGCTCAAATCAACATGAAAATCCTTGATCTCATCATAGATAAAAAAAAAACTCCTATCTGTATGATCATAACAGCAAAGATTTCATCTTTTGGGGTGAAAAAATGTGCTTACCAAGTGGAAGTCAAGTTTCTGGGAGAGCTGAGGACCCACCAATTCCTTAACCCTATCAACAGCTTCAATAGCAGAGTTATCAAGATTGTCAATAATTGAAACCCTGAACCCTTCATGGAGAAGCTGCACCACTGTGTGGGTTCCAATGAAGCCAGCACCTCCAGTAACAAGAATGGTTTTCTCCGAGGCACCCATTTGTAATTATAAACTGTTTATTTTTTATATATTAATTTGTATAATTCAGGGAATGCGAGTAGAGGAAGACCTTGGGGTTTTTAAAGAATTTCTTGTTTATTGACGGCAATGAAATAATAAAAAAAAACAGATTTGGAAGTATTTCCAATTTGGGTATTTGCAGAAGACGTGTTCGAGAAAATCAAGAAACTATCTTTTCGGAAAACGAGAATTTAAAAGGATAAGAATGCGAGGCAAAGTTTGAGGAAAACAAAAGAACAAAAGTGAAAAACAGCTACTGCCATGTTGGAATTGATAAATTTTTCCAGACAATCACAGCTCAAGGCCCTTTATTTTAGGTAGTTGTTGTCTCTGGCTGGTAGCTTTAATTTAACATAGTAAGAAGCTACTACCCCTAAATTGGATACCATTGAATTAATGGGTAAACTACAATTTTAGTATTTAAACTATCTATTTTATTTCGTTTTAGTATCCAAACTTTCATTTATTTCAAAACAATATTTAACGTTTATTTCTTTTGTTTATTTTAGTACCATGACGTTAAAAATAAAAACGGAACTGTTTCACAAGACATTTTTATAGATAAATTATATCATACATCACTTAACTATCTTCTCACTCTTATTTTGATCACTAAAGTTAAAAAAAGTTCAATTTAACTTCTCAACTTTCAAATTCTTCATGTTTTAATCACTGTAATTTATTTTATTAATAATTTTATGACATAAAATTATTTATTATTATTTTATTAATATATAATTAAAATAAAAAATTTTGAAAGTTAGAGTAAATTAAGAGTAATTTGAATAAGTAATTAAATTGTAAAAAAAATTAAACGCAATGACTAAAATAGGAGTGAGAAGATAGTTGATTAATGAATGATATAATTTAACCATAAAAAAGTGCTATGTCGTAACAATTCGGTTAAGTTTTTAACGGCAATGTACCAAAATGAAACAAAAAGTAAACGTTAGGTATTTTGAAACAAATGAAAGTTTAGATACTAAAACGAAATAAAATTGATAGTTTAGGTACTAAATGTGTAGTTTACCCTAGATTAATCTAAGTTTCGATTATTTTGAAATTAAAATTCTTTAAACTAGATTCTCTCCGTATAAAATCTTAGGGTAAAGCACATAAATGATCCATCGATTATGTGGTGTTATTTTGTGGAATCTCTCGACTATTAAAAATTACAAAACGGTTATCTGACTATTCATATGTAACAAACTCATCCTTTTCCGTTAAAAAATTGACCGTCGTATGAGTTAGACGTTAACTTGCTGACTGAGATATGATAAAATTTGATTTTAGAATCGTTTATATTATGCTATTGAGCCAATCGACATATTTACCTAATGTACATTAATACCTGAGCCACAAAATATTTGCTCAAATGATTTTAAGATCAAATTTATTCATAGCACAGTCATTAAGTTAATATCTAACTTAGACGATCTTTAATTTTTTAATAGAAAATGATGAGTTTGGAATATATAAATATTCGGATGACTATTTTGTAACTTTTAATAGTTGAGGGCACATTTACACTTTACCCAAAGTTTTAATTGAAAAAAATTTATTATCATACGAGTTAGTTGAATTAAAATTGGTATTAATATGTCAATTTTCGTTTTTAATAATGAAAAGGGGTAATGGGGAATGAATTGCTGAAGTTGAGCATAAAATAACAATATACATGAAAGATAAAAGTGACTATTTTTCCGATATAAAAGGCCGCTTGAAGATAATCTTTTGTGGATGTTAAGAAAGGAATGAAATTTGCAATCCATGTGAAATGTGGGGAAAGGATATTTTCTTACGTAATTTAAGATAATGTTGGTTTGTTATTTGTGGGACCAAAACAAGCACAAGCCGTTCAGCTTTTCCAAATGCATGACATTGCCACCTACTTGTGGATTTCAAACACAAATTTGCAACTTGCCTGGTTTGCTCTTAACCATGCACTACAAGGTTGTTAGGCTGTGCTTGCAACGAGGTGTTGTCAATTTCAAAAGTAAAATATAAATTTGAGTTATTCGAGTTCTATTTTATAACTCGATTCGAATTAAAATTTTTTCGAGTGAAATTTATGAAACTACAACTCAAAGCCAATTCTAGTATAGTAAAAAAGATTGCTTTTTTCGAATCAAGTCGAGTTTTCCTCACCTCTAACTCCCAATCTAAATCTTTCCTAAAGACTGGCCTTTACATAAGAGTGTAAAGATAATTCATGTACGATGGGAATATAGTTTTGACACACTATAAGCTAAACTTATATGTAGAAGCATGCCTTGTTCCACAAGTTAGTATACAGCAGTGGGAAGTTTGGATTGAGAAATACCTGTTAACGTGATACACAAGCGTAAGTAGCACTGGCTTGGTCCTTCCCAATGAAATGATGAGGAAGTCGTTTCCGGCAAGCAGGCGGCATCTGAAAAGTTTTGTCGAATTCCAATCCTTGTTCATTTACAATTCTTCGTTATGATAGAAAGTGTGTTCTCATTAGGAGAAATCACCAATACAGATTCTGGATTAATACTGTTGGGGGATGGAGAGTTCAAATGCATATTTTGATTGTCTAGACTAGGAAATATGGCACACTAGTAAACCAATGCTTGAGAAAATTAATCAAGGGACCTCCCTAATTCCATCCTAGGTAATCTAATTACGGGTCAAGGGACCTTCCTAATTTACCGAATTTGGATTTACGTATTTGATTATTAAAGGAGATTATTGTTTCTGGTAACCGAGTCAAAATGTCTCTAATTCACATCTCCTCACCTTGCTTAAGAAATCTAGTATCTCATCCCACTAGACCAAGTGGTTGTCGGTTATAAACCAACATTTTAATTTCTACGTAATAGGATTAGAGTTCCGGCGATGACGGTCGTGGAAGGAGAAAGAACTCTTTAGATGAATTGATGAGTATGCCATTCGTGGTTTCCATACCAAAAAAACTAATCTGATTTCAACCACTTTGCCTTGCTTTGTGACATGGGACAGTAAAGAGATTTCCTTGTTCCATTTGAATAAGATGTTCTGACAGTAGCTTTATACATTTGTGTATCCTCAATTCATTTTGGACATGGATGATGCAAACTGGCGCCTCCTTAGACCTAGTAGAGTCGAATATAGTTTTTAACCGTTAATACGTTGAAATTGAGTTTCAGCTACATTCTTCTTTCTTGCTGGATATTTGCAATCTGCATGATTAGGATAACAAGTAATGAATCTAAAAGGAAAAACTGCATATTTCTGAATATCTTCAATTATTATTGTGACTTATTTTTGAACGGGTCACTAAAATTATTGTTTTGTAATAAATTGGTCACTCAATTGTTACCTCAGTCACAAAAGAATGATGTGACACGTTTGGGCAGCTTAGTTTGCACTGTTTGATCATGTTGACACCCTTTGACCAGTCACTTTAACTCCTACATAATAAAACTTAAATCTCAGTCGTAATCTTCTTTTTCTCTTCACCAGACACTACATTACTAGTTTCACCATGCTTGTGCTCTGAATCCTCATCAGGGAAAACCTCTAGTTGTAAAGATGGTGCAATGGTATCCACATGCTATCTCCACCTAGTGAACTTCTCTGCATGATTACTCCACTTGTCTTCATTATGAGCAAAATGTTGTTAAGAAACTCGAGTCCAGATCAGTTTCAAAATTTACACCAAGTTATGCTCACACATCGAACAACCAACTAATGGAAGAAACTTTCAATCCTCTTTATTTGAATCTACAAAAGTCATGAGAATGAATTACTTGAAGTACACATAATTTGTAGTAAACCCCAAACTCATTGCGTAATCTTATGATCCTCTTCCTTAAGCCTCTATTCTAATAGTATTCTTTTATCCTTTCCCTTTTCCGGTTTGAAGTTGTAGATCGGAAAAGATGTATCTAAAAACTGAAGTTTTGTGAGACAACAAAGATTGTTAGCCACTGAAAACATTGAACAATTTGTTCCAGTCCGAGGTGCTGAAAGCTTCCAACAGTTTGTCTCGGTCCGAGGCATCGATGTCGGGAGAAGTGCAGTGGAACCTACAACAAATGAAACGACAAGGACAGTCAAAATTTTCAAGCATCCATGGCCACACGATAGCTTTCCCGATATGTGCTAACAATACTTGTCTGCATCTTGAAACAATGCATGTCTGGTAGTTTTCATAGTCATCTTCGGAGATATAACAGGTCTAAATGGTGCAAGTCAGATTTGGCTACTACCAAATCTTGATGGTAGGAGTACATTGCCTTTCCGAATGATCCCAGGGTACCTATTAAGGTTGACGTTGACCTGAAAGAGCCATTTCGGCCTATTGAATTGCCACGAGACATGCTTGACATCGAAAAAGATGTCTAGAAGAATGGAATGGAACTTGGTACTACTAACACCACAAAAAGGAGATCTGCTGCACAAGTGCATTGCCTTTCCTGAAAACCCAATCACAAAAATAAGGAGTTCTCCAAGAAGCCCAAGCTAGCAAATGCACATCTTCCGGAGTCTCAAAAATTCTTCAAGCTACTTGCTGCCATATAGTAGACTTCAACTGTCTTTCCTTTTTCAAGAATGGCATGCTAAAAGCAGACTTCCAAAATCCTACTAAATTGAAATTATGGATATCTATGTAGGCCTTTTTTGTATGTAGTAATAAAACTGATTAATAACAATAATTAAAGTTTACAATTGTTTTATTACATTTTTGCAGGTTGAAATTTTACTATTGTTTTATTAAAACAAGTCCTTTTGGACAATTCAATCTGTCAAGTCCCACTATATATATTTTATACATTGCTTTTGCATTTGGGCACCTCCTTTTATTTGAAATACATGAAATTTGAGGACCCGTTGTTTGATAATTTTCATCTGTCAGCTACTAGTTTTGGCTGGAGCTTTGCTTGCTAACCTATCTCTTATGTAATATAAAATAAAATTTAGGGTAAATTATACGTTTAGAACTTAAATTATTATTTTTGTTATGTTTTGGTAACTAAACTTTATTTTTTTAAATCATATTTAACGTTTAGTTTAGGTTTCATTTTGGTACCCCACTGTTAAAAACTTAACATAATTGCTAATGTGATATTTTTTTATTTTTTCAATGATGACGTGACATTATCTTATGGTGAAATATCAACATCACCGTTAAGTTTTTAATGACAGAGTATCAAAATAAAATTTATGTACCATAATGGAAGAAAGTAATAGTTAAATACTAAACACATATTTTATCCTCA